TGGAGACAACGGGTTTTGAACATGCACAAGTGGTGGCTTAGCACACATCTGTCTGTGCCGTTACTGGGTAGCGAGTGAAGCGGTTTATAGCCAAGGATCTGGTAAGAGAGTTTTCCAAGACAGTTTAAAAATATAAACTTCTTCTTATAGGGTCTGTTCTATAGAAAATAGAATCAAATCTGGAAATTGTCAGTTTTGAGAGTCCTTTCCCATTGCAAGATCCATCCGTCAGTCTACCGCACCACCAAGAGAAAAGCTAATCCTGCTATTCCAAACCCTGCCGCTGCCATTATGGCATTGCTTATGGTATTGCTCTGCTCAGCGGGTTGAGAGTCCTGTCTGAAGAAGTGATGGAAGCCATCCTAGAAAAGCAAGAGAAAGGAATGTTGAGTTGGTTGGCTTACAAGTGAGCAAATTTAGCAAGTCTAGAGGTATCTCTAATCATAAAAGCCTAGGCCCTAYTGTCCTTAGCACTCAAAAAAACGCTTTGCTGAAGCCTTCCCACAAGATGACTGAAAGTAGTAGCTACAAAGTAGGTGCAACTTTGCTCAAAGTCAAGTGCAAACTTCCTATTGAGAGATTCAACGTGTCATTACACTATTTTTACCCTTTTAAGCAAGTTTCTCACCAGAGCTGCCAGCATTGTTCCCCCTCATTCAATTTTCAAAACGCATCTGAAACACAGGATAAGGAAATCTCCGCATCGGAGGCCAGTCCCATCGCATCAATGCACGACTCCGATTACGTATCCCACTTGGAAGGGCCGAGCGGCCGCTGCTCGGCGCTGACCTATGACAGAACGAAGCTGGCAGCTGCTCCACCAGATCCTTATTTGTGATAATCAGAAGTGGCAGGAACGCAGCTCCAGATGGTCGTGTTTGAACTCTGTTCGGCAGATGTCYATGTAAACAAGTTATACTCTTTAATTTCTTCCGGAACTTTGTTCTTTACACTTCAATTTGTGCGAACAGGTAATGTGATTTTGCTGAATGATAATTTGCTTTGTGTCCAACCACCATATTGTTCTTAACATTTAACATTCAGATGCACAAGTGACCATCGGAAAAAAAACAAGTTCATTTTGGTCTCTGGATAAGTCAACAAGGCCAATRCTTCCCCCACTCTCCTCGCCCTATTTTTAGTCCTTATTTGTACTGGCCTAAAATATTCTGTTAGTCCTAAAAATAGAGGCTTTGAAATTCTGTGGGATAGCTGACACTTTGTCCAGACACTGACACAGCTGGACAGACACCTTAAACATCACGTTTCCAATACACATCCCAARTGGGAGGAAAATAAGCAAGAGCAGGCACTGCTTTATGCCAGGGTATGCAGAGAGCAAGGCCCCCAGGCCGAGCATCAGCGTTAGAACTGGTGGGAAGCAGAGCAGCCAGCCTAGAGGACAGGTGCCTTGACACACGAGCACATCTAGCAACTGGCACATCAGTATTTGGGGTTTATGCTCTGGAGAGCCCAGATGTGCATCAGGCCGCTCTCTAAAATCCAACCGTGCAGATCTGGAGATGTAAACCTTGGCTCCCAGAACTCAGCAGCATCACCTCTACATTGTGTTAGGGGCCATGGGACCTAGAAGCACCTCTTAAGTACTCCAATATGCACTCGCTGCATATGACTACGAACAAGTTACACCCTGGAGCCTTCCCCTCATGCGCAGGCACTCGCCAGCAGCGCTGCATGGAGCCCAGCACTCCGTGCACCAGCGGCTTTCCTTGGAACGGCACCCGGGACCCACTCGGCTACGGGGAAGAGGCCGGGGCTGACAAGGGCCCTGCGCTCGTTCCCACAGCCCTTGCTGGGGCATGGCCAGGGGCTGGAGCTGCTCCGGGGCTCTCCGAGGAGCGGGGACAGCCGGGATGTGCTGCATGGCGGCTCCCCGGGCCGTGCAGGGCGGCTGCAGCACAGCCACGCAGCACCTCCGCAGCCCCTTCCTCACCTGCAAGCGCTCCCCCTCCTGCCTCGCTCTGAGCCCTGCCAGCTYGATTTTTATTTTTTTAACCGAAGGCAGGCACACGTTTCACAAGAGAGGGGGCAGCTTTACGCAACGCTGGCCGCTACGCAAGCGGCGCCCGAGCTCTGCTGGATGTGCGGATCCCACCCTGTGCATCCATCCCGCATCCCAGCGGGACGGAGACCCTCCGTCCCCCCCGCGCCCCGCCCGGGCGGCGCCTTCCCCGCGGCCCGACCCCGCTCCGCGCTCCGCCCGGCGCCGCGGGGCGGCCGCGCCCGCGCTCACCCATCCGCCGTGCGCCTCGAGCCAGGCGCCCTTCTCCTCGGCCAGGTAGTCGGTGAGCGCGGCGGCCAGGCGGCGCGGCCCGTCGGCGCAGCCGCGCTCCGCCATGGCGGCGGCCAGCGCGCCCGCGAACACCACGAGCGCCAGCAGCCGGCCCCAGTTGAGGCCGCCCTCGGCCTCCAGCTGCGCCGCCACGCGCGCCAGCAGCGCCGCGGCCTCCCAGGGCTCGGCCCGCGCCAGCGCGGCGCACGAGCGGAAGAAGGGCCGCTCGCGCCGCTCCAGCTCGCCCGCCGCCCGCCGCAGCGTGGCCGCCGTGGCGCTGGGCGGCAGCGCGGCGCCGCCGCGCCGGTGCTCGAAGTAGTCCTGGAGCAGCAGCGCCGTCTCCTCCTTCAGCGAGCCCGGCATGGCGGCGGACGGCGGCGGCTGCGGCCGCGCGAGCAGCTGCCGCCGACTAAGAGGCGGGGCGGCCCCGCGGCCCACGTGGCCCCGCCGCCCCGCTCCGCCCCGCGGCCGCAGGGCAACGTGGCCGCCCGCGTGAGGCGAGCCCGCCCCGAGCCTCCCGTTCGGGGCTCCTGGGAGTGGGGCGCCCTGCGTGTCCCCCACACCGTTAGCTGCAGGGCGCAAAGGATGGGCACCCAGCGCTGCKGTAAAATAGGAGGCTGCGAGCGCGCCAGGCCGGCACAGAGACACACAGAGAGCCTGCGCCCCGGCGAACCCTCAGCACCAACAGCCAGGGACACCAGCGCCCGGGATGCGCCCCCCACGCCTCGGAGCGCGGCACCCGCAGGGCCGCGGGGCTCTCCGCGCTCCTCAGAGCGCCCCACGGGCCTGCCTGGCTCCAGCCGCCCGCGCGGCAGCCCTCCCGCTCCACCCAACAAGCCCCAAAACACCTCTCTGGAATCAACCCTCCTGCTATCAAGAATCGCCCTCATCTCAGTCATTCCTAAGGCAAACTCTTAAACTTTGAACCTAATAAKTGGGCTTAAAACAAACCAACCAACTCACAAAAAACAGGGAAATTCAGTCTATATTATGTGCTAGAGCAGCAGCTGAAATGTTATCTTTACTTTCCACCGGTGCTTTGCATATATGCTTTTTTAAACTAAATTTTCCCTATGATTGTTAATCTTCCAGCAGGAATTTCCTATTGCAATCCTCGTGGCAGGAGAGCAAAGCAAGAGGGAGAGGCTACTTTTTCTCTAGCAACATCCTATTCCACCCTTCCTGTTTATACAGTATTTTATTTTTAATAAAATGGGACAGTTTGACAGTGACTTTATCCTAGCTATGGTTTCCCTTGCACTTTCAACTTGGTTATGGCTAGCTTCCATACCTGTTCTGGACTGTTTTTCATTTACTTTCCTGCTTAAGCTAAGGGGCATGTCAAGAAGATAGAGGCTATTTTTTAGATAGTTTTTAGTTTTCAGTTTAGATTTTTTTTAGAGGTGACAGGGCTGTCTCATTGCTCTAGCCCAGGTGGGAGGTGTTTCATTGCTCTAGCCCAGGTGTTTCTCCCACCAAAGTGGGAGAAACAGAGCAAAAGGCCAAGAAGCAGCTGTAAACCTCTCCCGTGCTCAGGAATAGGGCAGCTGTGAGATAGGTGTTCAGGAGGAACCAAAGGCTTGACTTAYCTAATAGGGGCATCACAAAATGCTGGGCTTTGCAAAGCTTCCTTGGGCAACCTTTAGTCAACCTGATTTACATGAGGTATATTAATGCCTTTGCTGTATTTTATTTTTTTTTTTGACGGGAAGTTGAGGTTTCTCCTGGTTTATAGCTTTCACTGTCGTCAAAGAAAGAAAAAGATGGGGTTTGTAGGTGTTGAACTCCTTCAAACCCCAGCTAGAGACCACAGCTCATATACAGAATACCAGCAATATKGCCATAAAGTGGAAGAACCATGGAAGAACAGAAGTCCAAGATCTGCTGACCTCTTCTCACTGAACCAGTGACAACCTTGGCACTGATGTCACTTACAATGGGCTGTCTCAGCACTTTCCCCAGCCCAACAAAAGGAAATGAAACAATGTGCTTAGGTTGATGTAGTGCTTCTCCAGGGTCTGAACTGAGCACTTCCACCAACAGCCGTAATGCTGACCACAAAACCTAAGTGGAGACAGAGCTGATTSTAGCACACTGCTCTTCTGCTGAGAAGGCAGAAAGCTGAGCTGCTGTATCTACAGTAATCTGCAAATATTATTTACCCAAACAGTGATAGACCAGGCACATAGTAGTGTTTAGGTGCCTAACTGGCATCAGTCTGCAACAGGAGAATCCCTGTGCTCCCAAAAGGTACATACGCTGCATTTTCCAGTGCATTCCTGGGTAAAATGATGAAGTTTGGAAAAGGAAACACCACATTAGCTGTGACTCTTCTAGGCAGGAACACAACCTGAATTCTGGCCTCCTAAACACAAAAGGAACTCAAATGGGGTACAGAGCAGGTATTTTCAAGGACTATTCTCTCACCATTACAGTTGCTCACCTTGAGTATTTCCAGAAGACATTCCAGAAGCAATTTGCTGATAKATCTGAATTTTACAGGGCTCTTTGCGGGAAAAATGATCCGAGAAACTGTACCTTGCAAAAAATAAATGCCAAGAAACAAAAGCTATAGCTTCTTTTATAGGTATCTACCTGATGAGAAAAATGACTATGTGCACATTCGCAATATGTAAAATACAATTTATTATATTTAGGCCATTCATAAGTATCAACACTGTGTAGTATCTTCAAAACAACTATCTTACCAATAAATACTATCTAAACATTAATTTTCAACTTCTGATCAAATGTTTACAGTGTAGTGACTCAGTATTGCACAGTGAGCTCTATATAACATTACATTTTCCATAGTGCATTCATTTTTTTACAGGGACAGTTTATCATATATATTGCAAAGCATYGGAGTTGACTTTTCCAAGTGGAAACAGCTGAATTATTTCATTAGGGACTGAAGACTGACCTGATCCTGAAATGTCCGTAATCAGTCATGGATTCATGGAACTGAATGTTTTCATGGAAGTGGAGATCTCTTTTGTAAAACAATTTTTATACAGTTAAATCAAWTTTTAAATAGAATTAGGTTATTAAGCACCTAAATTATGTGAACAGCCTACTCCAGTGATTGTTACTTTACTGTTGTTTCAAACTAAACATAAATGGTATYTTTCATCTTTTCGGATATGCTTTTTATTACTTACATTTTGGAGGCCAGACTCTGCTGACCCCGGCATTACTCCAGTGCTTCACTCCCCAAGTTCAACTCACCTCAGCACCATCCACATGAGCAAAGGTGACTCATTCTAGTCTCAATAGTTTCCAGTGTATGAGTATAGATAGAAATTTTCCATAGTTCTATAATTAACCATTTTATCCAGATATATCTTCATTCTACAGCCTTGGCTCCAGTCCTGCTGGTCTATATCACTTTCTGACGGTCACATAGAGGGCCAGGACCTGCAGCACATGTGGCCAGTTATATTCCTCCCCTAAAACCTGCCTGCTCATCCATCTGCTSGGATTGCTTGTTCTGGAAAGCATCGCACCTGTATGTCCATATATTTTGCATACTGTTTGCAGGACTGTGACTTAGAGCAGTTCTTCACATCATCACTGCTGTTCGTGCTGAAGGCCCAGTTGTGACAAAACCACCTTCACTTCAGTGAGAGATCTGTTAGAGTAAGAACTGTACAATTTGGCTTGTAAGGTCTGATCTGTATTTACATTGATTTTTACTCCTCTCATATGGCAAAAAAAAAAAACTTAAATGGGAATATATTGCCTTTATACACATTTAAGGCTATATTACCCTGCCAAAATAGTGTGACTTAGCCAACATGTAAATAAGAATCATGATCACAGAATGGCTGTGACTGACTTGGAAAAGACCTGACCATCAGCATAATGGTGCCTAGTGCTTAGCATGTAGTATCCCAGTGCTTAGCATGTAGTATCCCTTTATGTAAAAGAAAATTCACTCATCAAGTGATACAATTAAAAATTTCTAAGAAACTACTGGTTAAAATAGTACCTCATGATTATGCAAATCATGTTAATATCCCTCAACTTTGCAGTTAATCTTTTTGTCTACATTTAGATTCCTTAAATTCAGATAACAGAGATGAAATACTTACTTCTATCTAAAAAGGAAGTAGGAAAAAACAGGGATTGAAAGGATTCAGTTTTTTGTACAAAAAATGCCTTTTTACCACAACAGCCTGTACCTTCACAGCGGGTCCTTTGCTGCTCCACTTAGTACCACGGCTCAGCCATTCATAATGCCATCATAAAGTATCAGAGAGTTGTTTTTCTTTYCACTTCTCAATATCAAATTTCAACGCACTACTACGGAATGTTTCCAAAGTCTTATACTACACCCCAATAAAATAAAATCAGGATTTTTTTTTCGTTTGCCATAAAAAGAAACCCAATTCATGCAAATAAATACATATTGTGCACAGAAGGACTCATTTCTATCATACAGATGACTTTAGAGAAAAGCCTCTTTTTATACTTATCTAAACTAGTTCTAGTAGGAGATAGTTTCAAAAACAGAATTAAAAACATTTCATTTTCCTACAAGTTGATGGTTGCTATGTGTTCAAGCAGATTACATTATCTACCTAGTTGTGTTTATCTGTGGTTTCAGCRTCACTATTTTATAGTATAGCAAGTACTTGATTTGGGGGTGTTTCTATGCAGCTTTTGTAGTCCAGGTTGTAAGTCTTCATTTGATTTTAGATACAGGATCTCAGGTTAAGCCCAGATCTGCAGAAAGAAAAGTAGAACAATCATTTAGGACATTGCCTCTTCCATCAAACATTTGTTTTTAAWGCTCAAACCCAGTCCTCCAGCTGCTTACTCTCAGAGTGTGGTCCCAGGACCCTGAGCAGAATGCTGTGCCATCGGGAGACACGCGCAAGGTGCTAACGCGATTTTCGTGGCCGAACAGGATGGACACACGAGACCCTTTCAGCACGTCCCAGACGTTTATGGTGTAGTCATTATACCCTGCAAACAGCAGACGACCTGCAAAGAGAATTACATTTGTACAAAATAAGGTCTTGAGCGGGTAGCATTTCTAGGCTGCAGTAAGGGCCTTGTGCAGGACATCCCTCACCAAGGGAGCCACAAGCCACGTTTCCTGCGCCCGACACGGGAGACCTCCCTCCTTTTGCTGAGTGCTGCTTCCCATGTGCTGGCTGTGCTCTGCTGCATGCTGCCCTCCACAGCTGAGCTAGCCATATTAAATGCTGAATCAAAATTAATTAGTTAAAATACAGTAAAAACAAGTGAAATTAGTTTAAAATATTCATTAAAAGTACATGGAATCTGCCCAGGCTTTAGAAGAAAGGAATAATAATAAAAAAAAAAAGCATTCAKTTGCTATTGAAGGTAGGAATATTCTGCTCGGACGTTATACAAGACTTTACAGCTGCACAAAGCTGAGCACTGATGGTTCAACAGTTTGGTCGTGATTCCTTATCACTGAATTATGGAATGATTATTCAACAGCAATTCCTGCTGTGGGGACTGTGACCGTCTACAGGCCGTGTGTGTGACGATCGGAGGGGCAGCTGGTGCCACACGCTCGTCCCCAGCTGGGGTGGCTCTGCACTGGTGTTGGAGCAGGGAAGGGAGGCAGGGAGCAGAGGGAAGGGCTCACACTGATCTCTGAATYAGGAGTGAAAACTAGTTAATGGTTCTGTCTTCATGTCCTTCTAACATACTTCTACCATCTATTAATCATTTATTATCCTTTATAAACTATTCATATGAGTGTGCTTAATATTTTAGTTACATTTCATGTTTCCTTTGAAATGTTTTTAATCATTATCGTGTAATTCTAGGCCAGCTGTAAAATATTTCTTGTCTTCATTGAGGCCAGAAAACTACTCTTCATCACTACAGCTAAGCAGCAGCCAGCAGCTAGGTTACTTACCGAGACAGAGAGAGAGAGAGAGAGAGAGAGAGAGAGAGAAAGGGTTCTATGCATTACATATTTCTTTTGGTATTTAATGGTATTTAGTATTTTTGGTATCTATTGTTGCTTTTATCTGCAATAATAAATGCTTTATCAAATTAAAACCCACAAAACTTTACAATCTTTCCCAACTCCCAACACCAAGACAACATCCAAAACCCAGTTCTCACCGCTGAGGGAGAAGTCCACACTAGATGCTCCAAAAATGATGCTCTCTTTGGAATAAATGGCTACTTCTCTATCTGCACGAAGGTCATATAAACGACACTAGGATTAAAACAAAAACACCACACATGCTTCACTAAGGGCTGGAGTCAGTAGCTACTACATCTTGTAGAAAAAAATGTGAATGGGAAGGACCCCAATAGTCTAAGCAGCAATTGGAATCCAGGATTCCAATTTAATCCGCAGGATTAAATCTTTCATCTGCTTCAGCAAGACTGACTGTAGAGCATGGAGGTCGRGACAGTCCCTCGACACAAGGGAAGCCTAAGTGTTAATCCACGTGCTGAGTAGGATGGGACACAAAACAGCCACTGGCCTAGTGGGAGGCCTGTCTGTCTCAACAGCAGCACAACTYGAATCTGAAAAATCAACATGAAAATAGCTTATGATACATTTTTGTACAAATCTTTGGTTTCTGTTTCTTAGAGAAAGTCCACGGACACCTCCACAAYCTGAATTTTCTGTTTTTATGTGCTTATTTAGGCTTGTGGAAATAACGTATAGTCAGATCAAACTTCAGTGCCCTTCAGAATGTCCTGTTAGGCCTGAAATCAAAATGCATTTTTGAAACTATTTTAACTGAATATCTTCCTTAATATGTTGAGTTTAAGCAAACACTGGCCAGGTGGATTTGTTAATTTTAAGGCTAAACTAATGAAAAATGGCTGATATTCAAGTCTGTACATAAAGGGAAGACTGTTTTATTCACAGCATCATGGTAAGCTGCCAGGTATTTGAAGTCTAAGTTTCCCAGTGCTCTGCACTRATGAATAATTCTATCCAAATATCCTGAAACAGAGTCAGGGTCACTTCRGGTGACAGTACTGCTGTATGAACACACTTTTATAATTTCCCTCCAGACAGTGAGGATTATCTGTTCCCCCCAAGTCCCCAAGGATACAAATCAGGTCAAGGATACCAGTCAGTATACCAGTCTGTAACAGAGAAAACAAGAACTTCTTCATTTAAGCCATCAAGAAGGCAGAAACTGCCAAAGCCTCTATCAGAGATGGAAATTTCCATTCTCCTATTCAGGTCAGGGGAGTCAGGAGTTGTTAAGAAAGAAAAACTCATCAAATGAATTAATAAGCAGAGGAGCCCAGAGCCAGTGGTACTGGGGAGAAAAAGGAGAGTGCTCTCATTGGAATTTAATGATGGAGAATTTCTCCATCTCTCTCAGCATCTCACATACTCCAGTGCCACAGCTGAATGCAGAGATGCACTGGGCTCACCACAGAGATGGAGGTGTTAATTTATAATAGCAGCTTTCAAGATCTAAAAGCACCATATATATTTTTTTCCAGAAGTGCCACAGCAGGTTTCCACAGAATCAGAATGGTTGAGGTTGGAAGGGACCTCTAGAAATCACCTAAGATTCCACATCCAGTGAGGTCCAGGGGAATGTTTCTGCTGAGGTTCACCAGTTTTGGAGCCGACTTAAAATGTGCTTGGAGCACATAGTACTTTAGAAAGATTTGTCACCCTCATGCAACTCAACGTGGTGTTTGAACAGACAGGAGAAGCAGGGTGCCAGGTATCTCTTAYGGATTCCCTCTGGAATTAGAACTACTATCAGGTCAGCTCCTGCAGGACTGTGCCTGTGGGCAGCCTGCTCCCTCGTGGACACCCTCTGTCCGCCGTGAGCCCACACAGGTAACTCAAGGGCTCCAGCAGATAAGGGCATTTTGCATGCAGGGCGCTGACCAGARTTACCAGTCGAAACGTACTGTGCCCCCTCCTTGCAGTGTGTTCAGAGACRGTAAGATTTGGCAAGAGCTATTATAACATCAAGGATGACTTGGATGCAGTGACTCACTGCAGTAAAAATCACTGGAAATCTGAGTCAGGCTCACAGGAAAGGAATACAGAGCCAAGGGCAACCTGGGGCTGCATTCCCAGAATATGCAGAGCTTCTAAGGCCAATTGACTGGGTCTGCCCTGCACTGCAGGGTCCCTCTGCATCTGCCTTGGTTCCTGCTCTGCAGGGACATGCACATTTGTGTTCAGGCTCTGCTCATGTCCTTGCAACATGCTAGTCCTTCTGACACCAGTGGCAGGTTCCTCCCATGCTTTCATCAATGACTGCATGCAGTCAAATACCTTCTAGTAGGATAACTAATTAAAAAAAACTTAAAAAAAAAAAAAAGAAAATCTGCTATGAATATTTGGAGAACACCTCATGCAGGAAACTTCACAGCGGTCACCTAAAAAGCCTTACCAGAATTTTCCAGCAGCATTTTATATATTATTTTAGAGATTCATTGTTTCTATGACTTGGGTGTCACAGCCCCAGTTTAGCCACTTAAAGACATCTGTAGATGTGACCTGGTCTTTTAAGAATATCTGACTTGAGAGATAACAGATCTTCCCTAAACTACATTGCTGAATTAACATACCGTGGCATCGTCTGAACCAGAGGCAAAAGCATCTCCACTTGGGTAATATCTGTGCATGAGTAAAAGAAGACCAGAACACATTACATTACTTGACTGAGGTCAGACTTCAACAACAGAACCAGTGCATGGCTCAACATCCCAACTGTGTCCTCACCCAGAAACATACTGACCTGACACTGTTGATATCTGAATCATGGGTTTCAAATGACTGGATGCACTGACCGGAGCGCATATCCCAAACCATGGCCTTCTTGTCGCATCCCTAGACAAAATAAAGCAAAATAAAGCAAGACAAAATAAAGAATCACTCCAGTTGTGCAAGTGGTGGCATTCGCCCCTCGTGTCTGATGCAAATRCTCAGGCAATGTTCACAGGGCTCTGAACATCACAGCTCCGAGGAGGATCAGGCAGAGAGTTTGCCCTCCTGGAAGCTTCCCAAACTGGTGCAGCTGCAGACTGGAGGAATGTGACACAAAAGCCTCACCTCAGGGGGTGCCACGTGCGAGCTCATGTAGGGCTGGGGCGCTGCTCAGGCTGCCGGGCTGCTCTGGGGCAGGGAGGCCGAGGGGCCCCTGCACACTGCCTTGCTCTGCTGCTGCCTTGCACTCTACCCGCGCCCWGCAAGCCCCACCAACACACACAGCGGCAACACTGACTCATGCTCTACCACTTAACATGCCTCATATAAAAAATTAATACCCAGCACTCAGTGTTTTATGGCAAATTCTTTCTATACACTGAAATAGAAAATGAAATAACTGTATCTGGAGGGTCCCCTGCTCACCCTCCCACTAGATTTACCTCCTGTTGTGGCTCTGTGCTCAATTCCTGGATGGTTAGACACAAGATATGTAATGCCATTCCATCTCATCGTGGAAGCCTAAGCTGTCCTTCCAAGCTGAGCTTCTGGGAGATCATTTACTGCTCGGTCCTCAGGGTAGGCACCGTCTCTTACAGGAAAGACCCGCTCTGGCCTCGTTCTCAGCTGCAGCGTCTCATTACTGTCACAATGTAGTGACAGGAGAAAGAACACAGGGGTTTTCTCAAGGGAGATTTTTGTAAGTGTGATCTTGCTAAAGGGAAGGCAGTGAGCAGGCTTAGCTCAGGGGACCTCTGCCTTTCTGTGCAGGTCCCAAAAGTGCCAAAGATACGTGAGAAGTGTGGTGCAGGCCAAGCCTCCTGCCTAGTAAGCACATTCTGCTGAGCAGCACTCACATTATTTATTTTTAAGCAGATATAATTACTAGTTAAACTAAACTATCTCCTTGAAATTCACATCTCTCTCTCTGTACCAGCCTGTAGTTTCTGTATAAGGAAAAACATACAGGATGGAGAACATTTTGGATTCATCAGATTTCACTCTGAAACCCAGCCACAACCCAAGCCCAGCCCTGCGCATTTCTTCCATGTGCATCATTCTTACTAACTTCTCTGGGAGCTTGGAGGCAAGACCAATCTGACAAGCTGGTGTTTTGATTCCTAAGGTTTTGAAGGAGAAGTCAGCAACCATCTGTGGAGAGATGGGCTCCCAATGTACTGTCAAGTTGATTCCAAGGAACAGTGCTCAGAGAACACTGAGAACAAAACCCAGGGGCTCAGCCCTGAGCTCACCCAACTTCCTAAAGAGGGCTGTGATTTTTAGTTAAGTAGTTCAATTTAACAGTAGCAAGTCTATGTGCTGTAGTATTGGTACTGTTTATTGCACCTCAAGGTTACTGCATTATAAAGCCATAAGGCAGTGTCTCTGTACTACTATAACTTTAGGCTGTACTGCTTAATGCTTTGGCTATATTCACATCAAGTCAATGCAAGATAAATCTGTGCTGAGGCAGTACTCTGCATTTGATGAGTTAAGTCCCTGTAAGTACAGACATGCCCACGCTGCTATATTGATGCAAGTATTACATATTCCCTTAGTGGTACCATAGCTGCTTGTGATTCTTTGCCCTATAATAAGCTGAACTGTTCTCATGGAAAATGAATCTGTCCTTTCTGGGAAGTAAACTGAGTTACAGGAAAGCCTGGGAAGACTAATGCACTCGGATGGAATTAGCTTTCGGTCACGCTTCAGAGCAGCTGTGCTAGCAGCAGGCAAACCGGGCCAATGTGTTAGGCTCATGGTGGGCCAGCCAAATAAAAGAGCCATAACAGGAGGGGTCAGGTTTATTGTGCACAGACAGGATTTTGACTCAGAGAGAGCATAAGCGAAATCTCCCAATCCACAGTTTGCAACCTTGGTCACAACAGCGAGCAGCAGGACCAACACCAGTGGAGACCACAGCACCTGAGGGGAGATAAGGGATCACACTCCAAACAAAGGAACCTGCTTTCCCCTTAGAAACCAGGCTCCTTCAGCAAAGCTACTGGTAGCAACCTGCCTCCTTAAGCGAGGTCACTGCACAGCTCCTGTCGGTTCTTACAGCACACTCAATACCGTGGGAAAGAACACTCCACCTTGAAAGGGAATCGAGGGTGGTGCAGGTCACCTTCATACCTTGCCTGACTCGCTGCCTGGTTAAATGCCAAGCAGCCAGGCTCACTCGCCCGGGGCAGGGAGAACAGTCCCTCAGCAGCCAGCCAAGAATGAGAAAATGTGCAGCACTTTATCCCAAACAGGCCCTGCGGGCCCTGCTGGGCTCCTCTATTCCTCCAGGCCAAGACAGGGAGGCGGGCAGGATTTGCCTGACTAAGGGGCTTTGAATGCCTGTGGTACCACTGGAAGGCAAAGGGTACTTACCAACAGCTGAAGATGTGGCCACACCTCATCCGTGTCTGCTCCAACTTGTGCTAGAGTTAAGCCAGTGCCTAAGCTAGCCCTGGCTGCTGGGAGCAGTTGAGCAACACGGTGGCATGTACTTTATTTACAGCCCCGCTTCGATGCCCTGTGCAGCGCCTGGCACACCCTGTCCCTGGCTCCTAACAGCTGGGCGCCAGCAAGGAGCCAAGGGCCAGAGGTTGTTGCTGTGCAGGGGCTCCCATGTGAGGGGGGTTCACACCTCTGCCCGCTCCTCGAACGCGCTGCTCTAACGCAGAGCCTTTTCCTTTCCCAGGAGCAGCTTTGTTTTGATCATGAGTTGGATTGTTTTAGTGTGGGGTGGAATTTGTTAAGTAAGCAGAACTGCAGTCAGACTGGCGGTGTGGGTTTGACCCCACAGTCAGAGGTTTAATTTGCTCCAGCTTGGGAAATGTGCTTGCAATGAGTGGATTTCACTGGGTCTCCCTCTAAATACTGCAGCACTCTGATAAGATCATGAGCCTCCTGCTTTGCTGCCCTTTCCCTTCCACATACCTTAATTTTAGATTAAGCTCCTGCTTACCCCAGAAACAAAGGTATTTCCCGTTTCAGAAGGGGCCAGATCCAGACACAGGACATCAGCTCCATGACCATGGAAACTTTGTAGAAGCTGCCCACTCTCAACATCCCAGAGCGCACAGGTCCCATCTCCACTTGCTGTCAGGATCTACAGGACATGGCAAGAAAAGACACAATACAAAAATCAGCACAAGATCTTTAAGGTCATGACGAACCCCCGGTATCCTATACCTATACCAAGAATGCCTTTACTTTTGCGTAATACCACACTACAAATCAAAATCATAAAAGCAATGTGGATGTAAGCAGAGCCCATATCTCTTATTTTTTTAAGGAAAAAAAAAAACAAGGAAGAATGGAAAGGGGATTATTGGCAGAGCTACTACTACACAGTGCACACATTATTAAATAATGGCCAGTTTTGTGCAGTGGGTTTGCAGAACTGATGTCAGAGGAGTTCTGTCGATATTTCCATATCCTGCAAAAGGAGGAGGAACCAGATTTGTATTTCTGCCTGCCCAGGCACATAATTCTCTCCACACTTAGGTTGCTGGAATTCAAAGGAGTAAAAAAACAAACACAAAAGAACTGCTGGATTTAAGCAAACTTGTTTTAGTATACCTGTTTAACTCCCTGATTTTTTTTTCCTGACTGAAATAATCAGGTCAAACCCAATAAACGGAATTTCATGGATTTTCTGAAAGGGAAGTGAGTCTGTCTAGACAGTTGTTTGACAAGTCCATCGTCTCTCACTTGTCCAAAACCACTTAGGCGTGAAGGGACTGGAGCGAATACTGACCGAACAGAGCTCAGAGCCTCCCTCGTCTGCCGCAGCGCTTGTAGAAAGCACATGTGATCATGGCTTGTTATTGTGGTTAAATCCCGATGATGCTCAATTGTTCAAAATTTCCCCTTGGCACTCAAAGCTGTTATGCAATCCCAAATTCTGTAGGTGGAAAGGGTGCCTGTGCACAGGCATGGAAGGGACAAAGGCGAACTTAGGAGACCTTTCGGTTTCCTACACAGGCTGTTTTCATGTTTGGTGAAGGAACTCAAGGGATCCCAGTGCACAGTCAGATGCCAAGAAGAAAATGCACTTTGAGAAAATTATCACACAACTGTGAACACAGTAACAGAGCTGCATAAAGGTTAAACACAAATCATGTCTGACAGATGCTCCAAACACCACTCCCAGAAACCGAGGTCTGCAAAAGCTGCAGAACAGACTATAGTGAATCCTGCAGTAGAGACACACTAATATCTTGAGATGAGTAGATTAGCAGAAGAAAGGCCTAAACTATCTTTTGGGCCAACTTTGAGCCTTGATTGATAATTTTCCCTGTTCTCTGGAATACTTGTACTACAGGATGGGGGATAGAGACTTTCAGCTATGAGGATGTGCTCTTGCAACAGCACGAGAGGAAGACAGGAGGGGAGCAGAGGTGCTGTGGCACATCCRACCGGCCACGCATCCCCCGGCTCCTTCCATGGTACCTGCCTGGGCCAGCGGGTCCCCGTGGTCCTCCTGGCCCCGACCCCTCAGGAGCGGGCGCAGCCGCACGCGCCAGCCTCGCCACGTGCTTGTTCCCCCTCACAGCTTCACAGCTCGTGAGTAATTTTAATCCTTAGGCCATTATATAAGAGGAACAGGATAAGAAATTCAAGATTTGCTATCATATTTTGCAAAACTGTATCCTAGCAGAGGCTTCTGTAGGCCTCTTCTGTGTCTTAAATAAGGTACAGCTATAAATGTTCACTTAAAAGCATGAGTATCTAAAGAAAACTTCATTATAAATTCTTCAGAAAAATCTTTGAATCACTGTATATCACTATATACAGCATCTAAATCCACTGTTGGTATTTTACATAACAGTGATGCAGTCCCTTAAACATCAATGTAATTTTGTATGTTATTTTTTCTCTACATTGTGGAGATAAAAAAAGAAAAAATCTTTTTTACTATGAAAAACACATATTTTTTGCCTTTTGTAGGATTTAATCAGAATGCAAATAGGTATGGACAAGAAAATAACATGCTGGGTTTTGTATCTCACCAAAAGGTTCCSCTTAATTCAGATGCTGCTCTAGTTCTGCAGGGCTCCTGCCTAGCAAGGTCGCAGCTACGGTGCCTGAGCACTCTGGTACTTCCAGCCTCCTGTTTCCATGACAATAGACTTGAATTAGCACCTCAGAATCATTACTGAAACAACAACTTTCTCCTGGGGATCTCATGGCTTGAAATAGAAGCAATAAGAGCTCATATTCTTTTCCTTGGAGCTCCAAATATCTGGAAAGAAGGGAAGAAGTGTATTCCSTTTGTACCCAGCCTACTGCCAACCCAGAACAATGGAAATGCTCCCTCCTTCCCTTWATTTTGCTGCAGAGAGGGACTGAGCATCAAAATGCTACAGCCAGAGTGGGTGAGAGGATTATTCCGGCCTCTTTCATGTTCCTGGAGAAACAGGTCGTTTAGATGCTCAGCACAGAGGAATCCTCGTCTCAGAAGAGCTGGGTTTTGTTCCTGGTTTTCTCACTGCCCCTGTGACCTCGAGCAATCACGGATTCTGTGTGCTTAGATCCCAGCTGTGAAACAGGGAGCAAGTCACTTCCTTGCTCTCTCTCAGGAATACAGCACTACACAGACAGAGCTCGCCCTGTGGAGCTCTCATCTTGAGCTCACTTGGTACAAAACAACAAGTGCCGAACAGGAAAGCACAATACTTGCAAAAGCAAAGTTGATGATTAAATATCCAGGACAAATTAAGCAAACAGCAGTCTCCACCAGCTGGCACAGCACACACCCAATCTAGTCTTATCCGAGATGGGTTATTTGCATTAGTCTGAGCTCCTAAAAGCACAAGAGGGCAGAAATGTAATGAAGAGAGAAGCACTGGGTAGCAGGGAGCTCCCTTCACCGCGAAGCAGCCAAAGGGACAGCTCTGTCCYCGTGCAGGAGCAGCCGTGACAGCCCATACAGGCTGCTACAAGCACCTCCTTACAGCAGCACCTCCACCCCCACCAGGGAGGGCTTCCCAGCCACCCTGCACGCTGGAACATGCCACTGGGTGCCAAAATGCTCCAGGTGCAAGGAGGACTACTGGCACCAAGCCCAAGTGCAGCTCGAGTTAGGCAGGGCTGGGCAAGGGGATGCATTTACCTGCATGTCTGAGTTAGTGAAGCTGCAGGCAGACAGGTAGTTTGTGTGCATTGCAACGGATTTCTTCTTTGCAGCCATATTTTCATTTTTGTCAAATGTCAGTGGGTACACAGAGCACTTGTTGTCCAGGCCTCTAAAGAGAATAGTAATAGCAATAACAGAGAGAAAGGAACTCATTAAAACTGCAATGACAAAAGGCAAGCGGCGATAAGAAGGAAACCACCTGGCAGTGCTGCGCTGCCAAATCCTGCCTGATCACTGACTTCCCTGTATTATGCTAGCTGGGATCTCCCTGTGCAAGGAAACCCCAGATGCCTCACCACACAGTTCCCTTTGCAGTACTTTGCCAGCTGAAATCCAGCATTTTTTGCCCTTGTCTAGTTTATAAATGGCACTGAAAAAAACCTCCACAAAGTATAAATTGGGAGGTGACACAGAAGTCACCTTAGGGTTTTTTTTTGTTTGTTTGTTTGTTTGTTTGTTTGTTTGTTTGTTTTTTTTTGTTGTTTTTGTTTTTGTTTTTTTTTTGCAACCCAGGTTTGGGTTGCAAATTTGGGATTTTCTGGGATTTTCTATTGTTCTTTGTGAGTATTAGTCTTTAAATTGTTTATCTACTTCAATAAATATGACCACCAATGGAAAGACAGTACAGCAAATGAATAKATGTGGAAACAGGGCTTTTGGAAAGAGTTTGGAAAAATGGCAACATAAATACTGACTCTGTAGCTAGTGCATCCAGCTACCAACTGTATCCACACCAGCTATGACTGGGTTTCACAGGCCTGATGTGCCCACTCTGACTCGTTCCTAAGGTCCTAGTAGATTCAGGTCTCCAAGATTAAAGGTACATGGTCAACTATGAGAGCTCAGAACMCTTCTCCACACCCACTCAGGAGTCTCTCTGCCTCAGTCTGCTTCCTTCCATATTTACAAACTGCACAGTAAAATAGTTTCCCTTGTTCCCTTCTCTTGCCCCATGCTTTCTTTGTCTAATTCATCCAGTCCCCTTTGAAAGGTATTTTGCCCACATCACATCTCTTTGTTTTCTTCCCTGGGAAAAAAAAAATTCTTCAAACATGAGCCCTCATAGAAGTTGGAGAAGATTATCTGTACTGAGGATGGGGTTACTGCCCCTCCTCTCCCCCTCCCAAGATCTATTCAAGTGCTGATAATCTTTAATGTTGCCCTCAGATATCCTTGTGCTAATTCTCCACCTCTAAGATCGTGGTTAAAACAGCTCTCCCTTAAAGGATGTGTACACTACACACAACTGAACTGGAACTGAGAACTGCATGCAAGCAGAATTCCTAAGCCATGATATAAAAGCTGGAAGAGGATTATTTGCCATGCTTACACAACAGATGTTATCGTGCTGATGTCAGTGGAGATCGTGTGTATGAACCATTATGGGAACAGGATGAGAGGCACTGAGTGCAGTCCTCCTGTCTGTGATCAAGACATGCAGGCTCGTAACTRTCAGCATCTGTGCTGGGACATTGCTACGAGGAGAGCCTCTCCGTGCAAGCAGCTGCAGAAGCTGGGAACTCACCCGCAGGCAATGGCACATCCGGATGGGGCATAGGCACACGCCATCACCCAGGTACACGGCATCGTCACTGCGTGTTCCTGAAACACAGCATCTCCATAAAGCCAAACATCACCATTTCACTAACCAGTGCAAGGAAATTAGCGTASAGCAATATGTCTAATCTTGCCGTGGGACCTCCCTGTGGTTGGGGAAAGATATGGATGCTCATCCTGGTCACAGCCCAACATGAGGCTAAGTTAATCCTGACTGTGTAACACTGAGGAGCAGCGGGAMGATGGCCAGTCACTCCCTTCCTGACATGTCCCACCTTATACGTGAGCCCCACAGTGATCACGGACTATGTTTTATTGGAGTTACTGGATTTGGTGTTTTGGGTAGGTATCAGTGTTGCATGCATGTGAGTGAGTTACAAATGACCTGCTTTGCCAGGTGTCTGGAGTGGTGGGTGTTGAGGCAGCACTGCCAGGCCATGGAAGCAGCGGCACCGTGTCACGGTCAACACCAAAGCTGAAGCGTTCTGGTTGTTTAAATGTGGCACCCGGAGCGGATTTTATGCAAGGAGCATCTCTGTTTCACCAGCCCAGCCTTTCCCTGCAGCAGTGCATGGTAAGGCAGTGGTTTCCTCTGTGTGGAGTATGTGCTGGAGACACGTTCTCCACMTGTGGGGCCAGCAATGGGGCAGACACCAGCCTGCAAGCAAGACCAGCTCCAGGATGCGGGCCCTGTGCTCTGAGACCTGCCAGGTGAGCTTATGTGTCCTGGACTCCTCGGCCTGAGGTGTCCTGGGATGTTCCAAGGTTATCCAATCATCCCAAAGCCTTCCAGGAGGCACCTGCAAGCCCTCCCACCACCACTGCTCTCCCCATAATCATCTGCACAGAAATCTCAGGCTTACTCTGAAGTCTTACCTACCTTGTTGGTAGTGAAGGAATCCCACACGATCACCTTCCCATCCTAAATGGAAGCACAAAGACACAGAAACGTTGACAGACTGAAGACTTCCAGGTGCATTGCTGTTCATCTCCTTCCAAAATCTGAGGAAAGCATCGCTGCTCGTTTCTATCCCCTGTTCAGTTCTCTCACTGAATTTTTGTCTTCATCTTAATAGTAAAATGGTCACAATGAAGCACAGAGGAGACATTCCTCATGCTAGTTATTTCCTTAACCAGGGGAAGGGCATATCTTCTCTTCACAGACATGACTAATGCAGATTTAAAGGCCTGATTTGTTTACAAAAGGTCTTCCCCTAGCCTGTCTATGGGAAGTTTTTTTCATTTACAGCACACATGGAAATGATGATCTCCTCAGGAAACCATTACTACAACAAATCCTTACTTGCTTCCTTTCAGTGACCAACTACTTCTCCCAGCCTACAGTCACATTTCCCCTGCAAAATCTATCGGTGGCTCTGGCAAGGGTCTTACAAATACAACAGGTGACCTACATTACAAGTCACTGTCAGAGCTGGCAGCACTCATGGGGACTATTTATGAATATCGAACTGCTTATTCATCTTTGCTTTCTTGTCCTTTCTCTACTTTTCTCTTTACTTCTCACTCCACTTACTTAACCTTCAATTATCCTTTGATGCAACGGGCATCAATAAAAACACTCAGTAAATAACAACAGTCCTTTTGTCTATGCTCTCCAGCCAGCTACTTTGTCTCACGCACATAATATTGCTTATCCTCCCTGTATTTTGAAAGTGAAATATTTACTGGTAAGAAACAATTGTTGCTGTACCTGGATTCATTTCAGTTCTTCACATCAAAAGGGCAAAAAACGCATTGCAGTTTCCCTGTTTACCTCTCTGATCTACACATGGACATTTTTTACCATTYAAAAATATCGCAGTAATTAAATTTTGTTTAAGAGCACCATGAATGACAACAACTAGCAGTAACTCTGAGGGTGGCTTGCTATRCGGATCATCTCCTTTTACCCTTCAACGAGACCCGTGACATTTCACATAGGCCTGCGAACAGCTGTGAGATGCATCAAGCTCCCTCACTGCCATTCAGGATGCCCAGCAATAGCTTTGAAGCAAGTGGCATACCTGGGAAGAGCTCACAATTCTTCTTTTGTCCTTGCACCAGTCCATGCAGAGCACTTTATTGCCATGGCCCTTCAGGGTTCTTCTGGTCTTCATCACAAACTGGCCCAGGGCCTCCACGCGCTCTGCCACCTGGTGAACTGCAGAGAAGGGATTGTTAAGAGGGACCCACGTCAAAGCTCTGCCCTGACAAACCTCCACGCTCCTGAGCAATGCTGCTTGCAGGAATATATCCATGAAATATCAGTCTATAGTGTAACCCAACGGGTTTGTTTCAGAGCTGACAGGTTGTGATTCCCTACGCCATGGTGAGCTGTGCATGAATGGGTACAGATATGGATGAGCTCACTCAGGGTTGAGCAGCTGAAGTCCTCACAAACTACCACAAATAAAGCTGGAAAATATTTTACCCAGCCCCTTATCTCCTTCGACTGGGAAATATTCAGTCTGACAGAGGCTTGAAAGACTAATGCTTTCAACCGATGTTTCCTAGCCATTCCCCTCCCCACCTCCAAATTTCCAACTGTGCAAACTCACTTTGATGTAAAATTCAGCCCTCCACAGCTGACACAACTTAAGCCATCTCACTTAACCCTGAGGCCGCGTGCTGGAGTCATCTGTGCACATCTGGGAAAAGCACCAGCTGTGGAAACTGGTTTCCCCTTCTCCGGTGCTGTTGATTCAGTTGGAGCTGAGCGGGGGCACAGTGTGTTCCCGAGCCTCGTGGCAGCTCCAACTGCTCTGATTTACCTCACACAGAGAACCATGGAGTGTGCAGGTTGCATCAAGTCTCACAAAGGAGTGCAGGTCCTGGGGCAGAGACTGGAGAATTAATTAATTCTTGGCACCAGAATTAAAACTGACTCAATCCAGAGGGAGTTACTAGGATCCAGCCCTTCCTAACGTTGTGTGCTTGTCCACACTGAAACCTAAGAGGACACTACTGCTGTTAGCTAAAGGGGCAAGGCCTGACCCAAAACATTTGAAACAAAGGCAGAAACTCACATGCTTTAATAAGGTGGGAGAGGAATGCTTAAGCTTTTCCAGTACAATGCTGGAGACTGAGCTCATGCCTTGCATGGCAGGTGATGCTTTGGGGCTATGGTGCTTCTTCACACCCTTCTCTTTTCTAGAGCTGCTGCAGAAAACTCATGGGTTGGAAAGGGCTGTCGCAGTGAAAGAACAGGCATCCTTGATGTTATTTGGGTTATTTCCTGCCACAGGGTCAGGTGAACGATTTCTGGCTAAATCAGAAACTGATTTCTAGTGGATTAGCTTGCYCATAGACGGTCTCCACAAACACTAGCCCTGCAACTTTGCCAGCATAAGGCTCTTATCTGAATTCTCTTCCACTCTCACTCAGCCAGGGCACAAGCGCTATCCACCATTCCTGTGCACTACAGAATCATCTTTAACAGGGACCAGGAGCAAGCAAAAAGATCTGAGAAAGTACCATGTAAGTCCACCRAGGAAAAAATATATCTTTCCTCCTCTTTTGCCCACTGAACCTTGTTAAATGATCCAAAAGACCTGAAAACAATGGTTAGGAGGTTATTATGGCAGCTGGAAAGATGCTTGTCTCCAGGAAATATCTGGAAAAAAAAAAATAAAATAAAAAACAAGCATTCCACAGATAATAGGCCATGTTTCCATCACGTTATGTCAATACAACCTGGACTCTGTGGAATTGTCTATTTTAGCTTTACCGATTCTTTTAGGACGCTTATCTCCAACAACAGGCATAATAACCTTGCATCTGCCTAGCACAGGTTTTAGAATCAGATAATTATTTTGAAACATTTGCCAATATTGTTGCAGAACAGTGCTAAAAATGATGCACTCAGGGAAGTAGATAAGCTAAAGTCAATGAGAAACTAGAGCAGTTTTACAAGGGTCCAGATGAATCAGATTTATTTTCAAGAACATATAGGTTAGCCTGAACCGAAGCTGTGGACTTGATGCAAACAATACTGGTTATCAGTACAAAAGAGCTTCGATCTTTTCTGTTTTGGAAGTCAGTTGTTCTTAATAATCCTTTCTGGCTTAAAAAATCTACAGATCACATGAACAAGACAAATTGTTTTGTCTGTACCTGAAATTCTAAGTAATGGAATTCAATCCTTAAAATTGTAGGACTGCAAATCAAATATATGTTTGGTATTTCCTCTTTCCATCCATATTTCCATCTACACAAGCTGCAGTTCAAAATCAGTTGAACAAATAAGGACAATCCTAGCTCAACAAGTTGTTTTGCTTGGGAACCATGAAGGGAAAACCACAATCAGACTAAAGAATGTGAAAGATATAATTTTAGATTAGAAAAAAAATCTGGAACTTCTAATCTCTCCAGAAATAGCTCTTGGGAATTTAGAGTGTCCCAAAGCTTTGATCAATGAGATGTCATGAGGGAGCACTGATCTGCAGTAGTTTTAGACTTCCATCTCAGAAATCATGTCACGGGTAAATAATCATAGCCTTTCAACATAATTTTACAAATTTTACATATAACTGAAAGTCATAAATGGCCTGTGACTCACGACACACATAGTTGCAGTATCACTGTAATCACAGGTAAAGCTTTTTCTGATCAAATTGAATTTAAGTATATGTTTAAGTGGTCTGTTGAATACAGATCACACTACCTCTGATACAGAAACTGCATTGTAAGATTATGATAATTTACAGTAACATCTCTGTAATGAGGCCATATCCAGTTATTTAATGATTCCTATTAATAGGACACTGATATAACATATGATGATCCAATTCAAACCAGAAAATACCTTATTTAATCTAAAAAAAAAATTCTTAAGCCCAATCCTCCCAAATTTAGGAATATTTGCCAATCCTTTTTAAAACATTAGCATCTAAATCACAAGATACAGACTCACATTCCTCTTCAACAGCTAAGGCATCAAAACCGAAGAAATTAAAGTTGTAATGACCTAGCAAAATTTCTAATGACATGAGCCATAGGATTTCAGAGGAATCTAGTAATTGCACACATTTTCTTAAAAAAAAAAAAAAAATCAATACATCATCATAATTATAAAGATGATGTAACCAAATTAAAAAGTTCTCTTTTTTAGGTTTATTTTAGGTGATTTTGCATCTCAGGTAGACTTTGGATGTTTTAGGGGAGTTCCATGAAAATAAGATTAACTTATTTTTCTCCTGAATTGGAAGCAGAGGATACTGAACTCCTCAGTATCATTTATTTTACCTTCGCCACCTTTTGAAACTGCAGCGGATGACGGTGAGCTGAGCCACAAGAGCTGGAGGACAGACTCACCTAGCAGTCTGGGATTAGCCCTGGGTGCCTCCAAGTTGTTTCCTTGGGGGAACAGGGCTGGCTTTGGGAAACCATATATATCTAAGGTGAAATACTGGCCTCATTAAATAAATTCCCAGCAGCTTCCGCAAAGCTGCACTTAACCCCTATTCTGCAGCCAACAAGTGCAATAGAGCAASGCAAATAAATCTCAGAATCCACTGAGCGAAAGATGTCCCGGCCTCTCCCCGTGCCCGCGTGTTCCCCACCGCACCCAATGAACCCAGCGAACAGGRCAGCCCTGCGCCCACAGGCGGGCCCGGCGCGGAGGCCGCGCGTGGGGCGGAGGCGTCCTGGCCTCCAGCGCGCCCGCGGAAGGCCGTGGGTACACAGAGGCTGTGCCTGCCTGCCGCTCGCTGCTTCCGCCTCCCCTGGGCGCACGGGGAGAGCGGCTGTGGCAGCGGGAGCAGGGCGTGCGCCGGGACAGGGCCAGGGCCTCCTGCTGTACCGCGGCCCCATAGACCCGGCCTCCCACTGCGCCGCGGCCGCGGCCCCGCTCCGGCAGAGCCGAGCCCCGCGCTGCGGCACGCGCCGCTCGCGACCCCCCCGGCCCCACTCACGCTCCACRTCATGCAGCTTGGCCCTCTCCTCCTCCAGCTTGCCCTTCAGGCTCTCGGCCTCGTTCTTCAGCGATGCCAAGGTCTCGTTCTCGTGGAGCCCCTCGGTTGCCATCTTTGCAAAGGAAGCAGGCAGGGAGTCGGGGAGGAGGAGTTTGCGTGCGCGGCTCCCGGGGATGCTGCGGAGGCTCCCGCTGCCTCAGCAACCGCGCGGAGCCGGACYGCACTCCCGCCCCCTGCCCACGCTGACGTCCACGGCCGGAGCGGAGGCTCCGCTCCCCGTGGGCCTGGCGCCCGGGATCGGCCTCGAGGTCGCAGCCTGCGCCCCGGCCTCGCCGCCTCTCCCCTCTTGGCGTGCGAGAGCGCGTGTGGTTGTGGGGGAACTCRTGCCTCGGAGCACAAGCCATTTGCACAGCCGGGAGCCACCCTTTACCCAGATAAAGTGCAAAGCAGTGTCTGTGCTTGGAGCCAAAATTTGTTTGCACCCGTAATTGCATGCTCTGTGGGAAAAGGAGAGAGAAACCACATTGTTCTTTACTTCAATGGCATTTTAAAATGTCAGACTGGCAGGCAAGTCCTGTACGTGTTCAGCTCCATCGTTCCCTCACACACAGGGGCTGCCTGGAGCACTTGGGTACCAGCAGCTCTCTGCCCCTGTGCCAGCACAACACACGYAGTGGTGCCGTCCTTCTCTCCACTATATCCTGAATTCTTTGCTTTTAAATCTTCGATCACTTTTCCTCTTTAAACCAGCTACCTCTTCGCCCTGCACAGATATGCACGTTCGGGTCCTCAGCCTTCCCTACCCCTATTAAAAACTGGGGTGGAAGGAGGAATCCTTGAGCTGGGTGCTAACAAGAGCCCCGAGCAGCTCCGGCTGCCCGCAGTCACCCGGCACCTCACACTTCCAGCAACAGAGCCTGTGGCAAAGAGCCCTGCAGCTGCTTGTTCCCTGGAAGGGCAGTTCCTGAAAACTCTTCTCTTTATAGAAATAGTCCTTGGTCCACGTGGAGTAACTTTGCTAAGACTGACTCCYATTGTCACTGTTTAGCCAGAAAATAGGCAACCCAGATGCCTATTGTTCAACCTGGAGATGTTCCCAGAGYGGAAAGTGAGATAAGAAAATACAAGTTTGCAGCTGTTGTTTAGACTCTGGGCACATCCTGGACACATTACCAGGTCCCAAAGAAAATCAAGTCCTTTCCCACTGTGGGTTTAGCAGTAGTGCCACTGTMAGCGGCACACACAAGGCATTGCTGCTGAGCTGTTCAGTGTGGGCCTGGAGGCTGAATTTAAGTCTTGGAAGGACCTTGTGCTCAGTGTCTGTCTCAGACAACGTATCTGCAAACAGCTGGCTTAGTTGGCTGGAGAGTCAAAAGCAAGGGATGCATTTCCAGTCTTCATTGTGTCCGCAGAAATTGGTGCRACTTAACCACGTCAGACTGATGAGTCAGCTCTGAACTTATTGTGGTCCAGTTATGTTCAGAATCACAAAAGAAAAGGGCAACAGTGTAATCTGCTGGAGATGGAACATTCTTCAATGTCCCTCAGAGTAAACAGCATTTGTAAAAGCTTCCCAAGACACTGACAGGGCCAAAGAAATAAAAATTTGATGTCTTTAAGTTATACCAGAAAAAAAAAAAAAAAAAAAAAAAAAAAAAAGCATTATGAAGCAGAAAAGTGTCAGAAAGTGCCTAGCACATTATTTTTGTGTCTGGAAAATCAAACCTGTATATACAACATCCAAAAAGGTGGCTATTCTGTGTCCTAATGGAGCACCTAGTCATGCTGAAGGCAAATTACTTTTAACAGTGCATGAGCAATTACTCCAAATAATAATTATAAATAGTAAATAACTTGTTAAAATTCATTACGCTGAAGATGTGTTTAATCTGAAATGACAAAAAAATGTGCTGCAGTGGATAACGCGAAAGTCCTCTTAACTTGGACTCTGCAAACTGCTTTGGGATGGGTTTCAAAATACGTCACTGCAGGCCAAATATTCATGAAATCATCCTCTATAGGACGTATGGTATGTGGACTCTATGGGAAAGGGGTAACTAACTGAACTGTGCTGTATAATATGATAACGATTGGTGAAAAAAAGTGTTTGTTACTGTGGCTTCATAGCGACCACTGTCGTTGCCTAGAAAACTGCCTGTATCCAAATTAGCTGCTCAATATGTCCTCAATCGCAGTGAGCCTCCAAGCTTCCCAAAACAAGGACAGCTTCTTACCAGATGGCTTTTGTCTCAGACCATTCCCAACAGAGCAAAGGCAAGCTGATTYGTGGCCTCATATCATCTGAGTAATCATCACTAGCAACCACTCAGGAGCAGTCAGCTTTCTATACATATAGCACTACTAAGTTGAGCTGCTACAGAAGAAAATTAATTCTATCACCAAGGATTGTGGCAAAAGTAATAGTTACTGGAATTGGAAACCTACTTTTCAAACTTGGCAAAATAACCCACGTTACATTGATTGGGAAGCATACAAGAAAGCTGGTATTCTTCTATCAAAAAGGACATATGAGAAAAAGGATGGTACAAAAGTATGACACAAATTGTTGTCTATCTCAAAATGTAGGTTTTAAGAGCTTTCAGTCTCCCTGGTTCACCAGCTAATCCCTGTAGTAAACTAATCTAATACTTTTTGTGGGTACTAAAATAGCGAACACTGACTGTACCAGAGTTTCTACTGATTAGCATCTATCACCAAAACTGATAAACCCCAGAGGGAAAAAAGATGATTTTGTTTAAAAGGCAATTTATCCAAGTAGGATGATCGCAATATTGTGATGTAGCAATTCCTGAATTAAGTTGTGCCTCAGTATGCTTAGTTTGTGGGAAATCGCAAGAACTGGCTGATAAAAAAGTATATATGAATCTGGTCCCTTCTGCATCTGAAACTGAGTTRCAATCAGGTACTTGCAAAAGGACCAGCCAATTACACCTTATATCATATGTATATTATGTGTCCACAAACATGCAAGGACATAGCAAGGACACACTGTGCATTGATACCCACATCAATACTCACAGCACTAAAAAATTAGTTTCAGAAGGTGAAGGATATAACTTCAATACCCACTTGTATTTCAGTGCTAGTGCAAGAAGCTCTCAAGTATTTGCTTTAAAATATCTTTCTCAAAATAAGTACGAAGGAGCAAGCTGAAGCCAGACCTATCAGAAAGCCCAAGATGCTACTTCAGTGTTAAGAGGAAGCCTAACAGGCYGCTAAGTGCTGAGGTGATTCTTCATGAGCTCTCTTTTTCTTCTACTTAATAGCTGTTTCTGTTGGTAGGGCCTACCTTCTGTAACACCGAAGGTAAGTAAGAGGAGGAGTAGGCTGCAGGAGCTGTAAATAAGTTTCCTGCGATTCCAGTATGTATTTATCAAGTCATGCAAAAATTTACTGGATACAGAGCTATTTATAGACTGCTGGCCAAGAAGGATATGAACAAAACAGCAATTTCAGASTCAGGAGAAGTAAATGAATAGGGAAGGGATTGCCTTTTGTCTTGCAGTCATTTTATCTAAATTTCCTTCTAAACAAAGTAACACATGAGAATATGYTGTGTCAGTTAGTGAAGTGCACATATTGCACCGTCTCTGCCCACCAGATCAGTGCTCTCATCTGTGGGTCTTACAGGGTTTTGTAAACACAGTCACTTAAACCTTTTAATGTTTCTGCACAGATCTTTTGATCAGACTCTCAAATGCAACACAGCGCAGTCACAGTACAGACCAGTTCTAAGGAGGAAGCAATGAAGGATGTCTTCTCTATCCGATAATACACAACAGTTCAGGAAGACTAGAATTACTCCAAGTTGGAGTATAATCAGGACAATACCACTCCTAAGCCTACAAAAAGTTTTRAAGACCAGCTCTTCAACAGCCTCACAGGTTTGCGACCTCAGCTTTGTATTTCATCTGAAACAACAGCAATACCTCAATGGAAGAGCGTTACCTACCAGGAGAATGGAATATTATCTCACCAGTAATGTCTGGAGCCTGGAAAACCTCCAGGATCTCTCTCTTTCATGCAGGCATTCTAGTAGAACATGTTGGTTAGATCAGCAGGTTCACAGATATTCCCCACTACCACTTTCTGGGGGACATGTGCACGATGACAGAAGAGGCTACTTTACCACACAACGATCTCTTTCTGCTTTATCTTCGTTGTAGCTAACTTGTGCTCCCAAAGATGACCATGTACCACACTTGGCATGCAAGACAACCCAGTCTCAATATGACATGTGGGTCGCAACGGAGTTCTGACAGCACTTGAATAGGCCCAAGTTTAGTAAGATAGGTTAAATCAACTTTATAACTCCCACTCTCTAGTTAATTGGTTTAACTAGATGGTTTCTTCAATGGTTTCACCTAGTGTTAAGTTCTATTAAAAGTAATGGCCAATAATCACGATCACAAGGCCCAGCAGACTGGCACACATTTACTTCAGGGTAGTTAGTTAGAGTTAACATTTACAGAGAATAACCGAGGGGAAAAAGCTTGTGGTCATTTTTCCATCAGGAATCAAAAAGGCATCAGGGCACACAGAGCAATCTCTGTTCCAGGCTCAGGGAATAACATCAGGTGCTTAGAATCATGTTTATTTGGATTAGAAGCAAACAAGCTTTCTGCCTACTGAAGGCGATTTGCTGCCCAGAAAAAAATCCAAACAAAACAGAATGTTAATACATTCAAATCTATTTTTAGCAGTGTTTTCACATTTTGGATGATAAAATCAACAACGTACCATTTCCACACATATCGAGCAGTAGCTGAGTTGTTCTGATTTGATGTAAACGGGCCTAAGGGGTTTCTCCCTGGAGCACCTGTCACATGGACCAAATACAATCGCTAGGAAGGTCTGGTCACACATCTTGGTGGTGGGTTAGAGCTGAAAAATACAGAGAAGGAAGCAAACATACATTGCAGTCTAATGCTAAGTTTCCTTGATTTCCAGGTAGCTAACGCATCTTAGACTGCATATAGACAAGCGTAGACTGGACAATCTGTGAGTAATCATTAAAATCTGATGAAATGCAACCAAATTTACATATATATATATATGGAAGACAATCACTAGCACATGCTAGGAGATTTTATTTTTATAAAGAAAAACAGGTAGGCGAATATGTTGTTATAATAAGCAGCATTAATTTACTACAGGCAGGAATTAACTCTTTATTTTTTCTTAAC